GATAATTGACGCGTCTTTAATCCAAATTAATAAATAAAAATGTTGTATACCTCTACCTTGGTATTCTCGTCGCCAGAAGTAATGTGTTACTTCTCCAATCGGGTGATCTTTGGAACAAATAAAATCAAGCAGCGCTTTGAATTTATTATCAAGAAATCTCGACGTCGACACGGGATCTTTAGCAACGAGTACATTAATGGACGTCGAATCGTTAGGCCATCCATTTACTTCACGAATATATGCACCTAAATCATCCCACGTCCATTCATCAGGACTAACTGTTACAACAGAACAATGTCGCAGGTCTGTACTCTTGCGTCATAACATTTAAATCACTTCTTGGTCTACGCCAGTATTGTTCCATATTTCTAAAAGTGGAAAATATATCAAACTTAAGTCAGATTCCAAATCACCTTTCTGCAATGCTTGTAAATATTCTTTAGCTGTATAACGTTCTCGTGAATCAGTTGTATACAATTTATGATAAATACCACGATTTAATTGACGAATAATTGCATCATTTAATAAGAAAAATAAGAATTGTGGACTTAATCTAACTTGTGAATGTTTGGATGTCAAACAACATTTAATAAATTCATGGCTGTGAAGTTTACTGTCTAGTTTCGTGCTGTCCATTAACACCAAAAAGAAATAAATCTGGAAAACACAGTAGATCTAAAGTTTTCTCACGATTGTCCAAGGGCGAATCTTGAACTTTTAACATTTGATATAAGGCAGTAGCACTTTCACATGATTTTTTTTTATATAAAGGATAAATAGTGTATTGCTCGTAATAACTATCTTGACTTTCGTCAAGAATCTGGGTTAACATCGCTTCACGTTGATTATTTGAAGTAGCGTCTACGTTATTTTTTGTTTCTTCCATTGGAACTTTTAGACTCAATTCTTGTTCGTTATCCAAAACAGATTCACTATCATTTTCCGTCTCTTGTGCTTCAAATTTATTATTATCCAGTTTCTCTAAACATAATTCATCGTGAGTTTCTGAGAGTGTTATATTATTGTAAAAAGTATTGTTACGTTTGAGCCATGTTAAAGCCTTATGTGCCTTTTTACGATCTACGTATTCCTCCCAAACAATTTTAGATTTTGTCGGAACACCTCTAACACGTACGAAATACATTTCATGATTTTTATTAATTGGATCAGTATCGGAACATAATTTGTTCCATGTCTCTTGTAAAGGTAATGGTAAATGAATCGTTCTACCTTTTACTTTTTGTACCATATTTTTATGAGACAGTTTTTTGTTAATAACAGTCCCGATTTTAACAACAGTTTGAAAAACTTTAGCTTTTTGTATAAAAATTTTTTCAAACGTGAAAGATGATATTTCTTCGGATGTATCATGTACAAATCGATCATTTAAAACGCAATACGCAGGCATTAATCCGTTACGAAATTTTCCTGCACATTAACGACATATGTATTGTGGGGTAATGTTATGTTTTTTTAAATGCGCCATTAAATCTCTCCAAATTGGAATATCTAATTGCGTTTTAAGCTTATTAATTTCAGAGACACTTTTCTTATAACAAAGTCTCTCACATGATGTACAAACATATCGAGGTGTGTCCATGCAGCGTTTGGTAAAAGCCTTAAATGCGATGCTACAGCGAGAAATCATTTCGAGTGATGACGATATCATTTCAAAATAGTACAACTCTGCTGATGTTTGTACATATTTGCTTTTTCTTGTTCCAAAGTTATAATTTCATTTAATGTGTCTAAATCAGCGGAAGTTAAAGCCTTCTCCAGATTTAACATTTTCCGATAGAAACTTGTTATTTGATAAATTAAACGTTTAATATGTCTCACCTTTGGAAAATGAGGTGATAATATTTGAACACAAAGAAACATCGCTTTGCAAAGTTTCGTATCAATGTAACAAGCATGTGTGTGACCCTTTTTATTTGAATTTTTTATTGTACATGTATGAATCTTTTCTAACAATTGTGGTATTTTGTTTAAAGTACATGTACTTATCGTTTGAAGGAATTTTTCATAACAATTGATTAAAAACGGATCATCAATTTTACACAAGGTATTACATTCCCATGATTTTTTTTGCTTGTGCCTGCTGCAAAGGTAATACATTCATAGTTTGACCTTTTACGTTCATTACCAAAAGTTGTAATGAAGTAATTTTACGATATGTGTCGATAAAATAATTTTCAGACGAAGCTGTATGTCGCGATATGCCACATAATGCACTATTTTATCGTCAATTGTAGAGCATTCTTCGGCAAGAGTCAAACACACTTCTGATTTCTTTTCAAGTAAACCTAATATTTTATAGATATTGCGAACAAAACTGTCTTGAATATGCATACACCAACGTACGATTCTTTCGGCTTCTAATCGTCTTTCAGTAGGATTTTTAATATTAAGCTTGTTTTCGATGTCTTTAATTGCCACAGGAATAAGAAATTGTATGTAATTTCGTGACAAAAACTTTGCATATTTTCTAGTAATATTTTTGGCAATATCGCGATTTTTGTTTGCAAGTACGCATTTAGAATTCTTTTTCTTATAATATCGTTTATTATAAAGCCATTTACGATCAGAATATTTTTTTTGTCTATCTCGTTCTTGCTGAGAATGTATAAGATAATGTTCTCGCTTTTATTTTCTTTGTCTATCTCGTTCTTGCTGAGAATGTATAAGATAATATTTTTGCTTATATTAAGACGATACTTTTGTAAGTTGTCTTTATAGCGACGTCGTCTTTTAGCACGATTGTCTTCTGAATTCTGATATCGACGCCGTTTTTTAGCACAATCATTTTCTGACAAATCTTGTTTTTCTCGACAACGTTTCTTAGCGCGATTAATTTTAGTATTATTAACACAATTGTTTTTTGAAATCTGATATTGACGCCGTTTTTTAGCACGATCATTTTCTGACGAGTCCTGTTCCTCTCGACAATGTTTCTTAGCGCAATTATTTCCAGTATTACTAATGTTTTCACAGGAATCTTTTTGAGATAAATGTCGAAGCACTGTCTGAGCATCACTTTCTGAATCTTGAGAAAAATGTTCAATTGTATTCGATTCAAAAATCTTCAACAAATGTGAACGCATTACTCTATGATCATATCTAACTTTGTCAGGTTTAATATTAAACAATAATGAAATTGCAAAAGCTATAGCAAAAACTCCGCAATCATTACAGTTTCGTTGATATTGCACAGTAGGAAATTCGACAGGATGTTCCTCAAAGTCGTACGTTGGAAATACTTTTCTCAAGAATACCTCATGATGTTCGTGCAATTTTTGTTTATTTTGTGAATCATAGATATATATTTTTGTTGTATCGTAATAACTACATACCCAATGTCCGTTTCTATTTCTAAGTTTCGGATCTGTACAATTTAATGGAGCTGGCGAACTGTGCAATATTTGTATATGTTTTCTATCTTCTGGTATACGTTGAATAAATTGAGGCAATTGGATTTGCCATGTTCCGACAGGTTCATAATCTGAACAACTTCGCAGAAGTGTATGGAAATGATCCATATGATCGTCCGTAATCCATTTGCCTCGAATAATTATATCTTTTTCTTTAGACTTTAAAATTACTTTCTTTTTTAAATTCTATTTGGATCGCTTTATAATAGCGCGATTGTTTAAATCCTGCTGCTCTGCACGAGATTTTGTAGCATAATTACTTTCAGAATGTATTTTTGCACTTTTAGCAATTGCTTCAGTTTCTGTCGTTTTTATTATCGCTAATGGAAGTACTCTTTGAGAAATAGCACATTGTAAATCTTGAGCACGATTATTTGGTAAAATCTGTTTGCATCGTTGCCGCTCTGTAGCACGATTTTCTAAATCCTGTTCCTCTGCACGACGTTTTATAGCACAATTATTATACTTTCAAATTGTCTCTTTGTACGTTTAGCAATCGCTTCAATCTCTCTCGCTTTTATTACAGCTAATGGAAGTGGAATACCACATTGCGAATCTTGAGGAAAATCTTCAATTCCAAAATTTGTATCAAATGTGAACGCATAAACTTATATATTCATACTTTACTTTGTCAGGTTTAATATTGAATAACAATGAAGTAGCAAAAATTATAGCAAAAACACCACAATCGCTACTGTTCGGTTGACGTTGCACAATAGGAAATTTGACGGGATATTTTTTTAAGTCATACGTTGGAAATAATCTTACCAAGAATCGCTTATGATCTTTATACAATGTTTTATTATTTAAAGAATCATATATAAATATATTTTTTGTATCATAATAACTACACACCCAATGTCACGAACTACACAATATTTGAATGTATTATTTAAATGTATTATTTGAATGTATTATTTGAATGTAATATTTTTTATCTTGTGATACAGGTTGAATCATATTGTTGGATTACGGTCGAGCGTTGAGCGAGCGTCCTTTTGTTCGACGCGATGTTCTTATGTTTTTTCGGGTGGCGTGATCGCCGGTTGCGAGAGGTTTCGCGGCAGTAGCACAACGCGCGCCGTCAAAGTAAGAGCTAAGTAATAAATGTGGCATTTTCTATATGTATTTCACGAACTTAATTATACCCGTGCCTATTAAGTAACATTTGGCGACCGTGACAGGACGGGGTTCAGTGTTTTCGCTCGTGTTTCGCTCGTAAAATAACAGTTTTGATATATTCGAAAAGAAATGGATAAAACGAAGAAATTGCGAACGGCTCATCGTCGCGCGTTTACCAAAACCCTGAATGCATTAAATGCGTTAAGAGGTGCAGGATCGGCAGCTACTCGTCAAGAAATTATAGTAGCTTTTCAATTGCTCGAAGAAAAGATGCAAGATTTAGAAGCAAGCACACAGGCTTTTATGGATTTATTGTTTGTTTCGGCTGGCTTGACGGAAGAAGATATTCAAAAGAAATATGAAGCGGACCAGTATAAAAGTCAGTTCATCGCCGCAAAGTAGCAGATAGCCGATTATGCCGATCCGAGAGAAAATTGTGTGCCATCGATGAATACAAGCAGTGTACCAGGAGACAGCAAAAAGTCGTTTAAATTACCGAAAATCGAGTTGGCTAAATTCAGTGGAGACGTGCAAGAATGGCTACAGTTCTGGAGTTTATTCAAGAAAATTCATGATGACGCGGATATCGCGAATAAAGATAAATTCCAATATCTCATACAATCGATGATTCCTGACTCTCGTGCCGCCGATTTAGTGAAGAGTTATCCGCCCACGGCCGAGAATTATAACAAGGTAATTAGCAGCCTGAAGAATCGTTTTGGACGTGATGATCTACAAATCGAAGTATATGTGCGCGAGCTTTTACAACTCGTTTTGCAAAATGCATTGAAATTCAAGGCTCTTTCCCTTACGAGTTTGTACGATAAAATTGAGTTACATTTAAGAGCATTCGGATCTCTGGGCGTCACAACAGATAAGTGTGTGGCGATGCTATTTCCGCTTGTGGAATCATTGCTGCCGGAAGACATTTTACGCGCGTGGCAGAGAAGTTCCGTAAACAATGCCGCGTTGCAAAGTAACGATATTGCGACGTCTCAGTGCAGGGATCGACTGACGCAACTTATCAAGTTCTTGGAAGGAGAAGTACAAAATGAACTACGGATTTATATGGCGGTCAAAGGCTTTGATTTAACGGCGGATAATGCAGACAGTGAGAAAAAGCGACGATCGAAGACACGCGCGAAGAATGAGGATGTTTCGACCGCGATGGGATTGCTGACGACGAAAGAAAAAGATAGTGCGTGTATATTTTGCAATTCCGATCACGAAAGTGCGCGTTGCGAAAATGCCAGGAAAATGAGCCTCTCTGAAAGACGAGAGCACGCGAAAAAACAGGGCGTATGTTTTAATTGTCTGAAAGCTGGACACAATTTTAAACAAATGCCGAATTAAAGTGATTTGTAGCTGGTGTTCGATGCGACATGTACTTCTGATGTGCCCTAAAATAGAGAAAAAGGACAAGGACAGTAAAGTTGATTCTAAACCAAAAGATTCTGAGAAAACGAATAGTGATTGCAATCTGGCAAACGTCTCGAGTGATCCGGAAGTGTTAATGCAAACGTTGTGTGTGAAATTGCGGAATGAAAACAATGAAATTATTGTTCGCGCAATTATCGATACCGGATCTCAGAAATCTTACATCACCAAGGAAGCGGCTGAGCACCTAGACCTTTACGAGCCAATTGCCGAGCAGACGATGACACACTCCCTTTTCGGTGGACAAAAATCGGACGCGGTGCGACATAAAAAATATCGGATTCGCTTGAGCAGTCGAGACAATAATTATCGCTGTAATTTCGTCGAGCTGGACCAAGCTGTGATTTGTGAGAGAGTACCGCTAATAAAAATCGGAGAGTGTGATCGGGAGCTGAAAAAATTCGACATCGATGTAAGTGATTGGCATAGCAAGAGAGAGTCGATTTCAGTACTTATCGGTGCCGACGTGGCCGGCAAGTTGTATACGGGCCGTATACACGTACTGAAAAACGGCTTAGTCGCAATAGAAACGTATCTTGGTTGGACAGTTATGGGTAAGGTTCCCGAAGTCGAAACAAAGGAGAATGCCGCGACGACTGCTATATCGCTGTTTGTAAACAAAGACGAGATCGCGGACATATGGTCGTTAGACATTCTGGGAATACGTGATCCAATCGAGACGAAAACACGGAAGGAAAGAGATGTCGAGATGCAAGAAGCTTTTCTGAAAACCGTGCGAGTTAACGAAGAGGGGCGATACGAGATACAATTGCCGTGGTTGCCGAATCACCCTGCTTTGCCACATAATAAGGAGACGGCTATGTATCGGTTGCAGTCTACGGTACGGAAATTGAAGGCCGAGGATTTGTATGCTGATTATGAGGCAGTTTTTGGCGAATGGCTTGCTGAGGGGATCATCGAGCGTGTCCCGGTGCAGGAGGAGAATGATTGGGGCTATTATCTACCTCATCGTCACGTGGTGAAGGAGGGCAGTACGACGAGAATTCGACCAGTATTCGACGCATCAGCCAAAGAGAGGACGTCGCCGTCGCTCAACGAGTGCCTACATAAGGGCCCAAATTTGATAGAATTGATCGCGTTTATTCTTCTGCGCTTCAGAGAAAATAAAATCGGTGTCGTAGCGGACATTAAAAAGGCTTTTTTACAAATCAGTATCGATAAAAAAGATCGAGATTTCTTGCGTTTTTTATGGTACGATGCGGAGGGAAATATAATTGTTCTTAGACATTGTAGAGTCGTTTTCGGAGTTTTATCGAGTCCTTTTATTTTGAGCACGATTATCAATTTACATTTGAATAATTATACGAGGTCGGTGAAAAGTTCTGATAACGACGTTTCGACGGAAAATATTAAAAGATTGTTAGAAAGCTTTTACGTTGACAATTCAGTAACTAGTGTAAATACGCGAGAAAGTTTGAATAGTTTCATCTCAAACGCAAAAAGACTGATGAATATAGCTGGTTTTGACCTTCGAGGGTGGGAGTATAGTGATGATAATTCTCATGACAACCAGACGACAGTATTAGGCGTTAATTGGGATAAAGAAGCTGACACGTTAGCAGTAAAAGTACCAGTTTTTCCAGAGTTACGTGATTCGAAAATTACGAAAAGGAATATTCTTTCGTCGGCGCACCGTATTTTTGATCCATTGGGTTTTGTATGTCCTGTTATGCTTTGTCCACGAATTCTGTTACAGGAAACCTGGAGTGAAAATTTGACGTGGGATGATGAAGTTCCAGACGAGTTAGAAACTAAATTTTTGAAATGGATGGAAGATTTGAAAGAGCTTAATAAAATTAGAATTACACGATGTTTTTTAGGACAAATCTCTGAGTCGGATAACGTAAGTTTGCATATATTCTGCGATGCCAGTAAAGTCGCGTATGCCACAGTTATTTTCATTCGCGTTGAAAATGTTGATGGTGTAAAAGTTCACTTTGTACAAGCGAAAACGCGAGTTGCGCCTGCTAGGAAAGGCAATTCGGATGCGCAACCTAGCATAACGCGTTTAGAGTTGTTAGCTGCGACAATAGGCACTAGATTAGCGAGAAATGTATTAGACGCGCTTAATTTTAAAACGCTAAAACTCTTTTATTGGACCAATTCCTCGACCGTGTTAGCATGGATCCAAAGAGAATGTAATTGGGCTACGTTTGTGTACAACAGAGTAAAAGAGATACGTATGCTATCGGATCCCGCGTGTTGGCATCATGTACAGGGCCGTTTCAATCCCGCAGACCTACCATCGAGAGGCTGTACGGTGAAACAGATTATGTCTGCGAGATGGTGAGAGGGACCCGTGTGGCTATATGAGGCGTCAGATAAGTGGCCAATGCGTAGAAAATTATCGTGCGATAAAGATGAAATAAGTAAAGAATTAATCACAGGTAAAGATAATATTGTTAGAGTCTCTCGATTGACTACTGCTAAAGGTGAGTTAGTTCGGCCGATTCAAAGACTTTATCCATTAGAGCTTAGATATGAGAAGAGTAAGTCCAAGGTGGACGAAATTATTGCGGACAAATATAAAGATACTAGGAGATTCAAGGAATCTGAGAGTTGTGCTCCAGATATTAGTGGAGCATATAATATGCGCAGTTGCGATGATGAATCGTACGTAACGAGAAGTGGCAGGAAAATTAAATTTCCAGAACGGCTGTCTTATACTTAAGTTTTTTGTTGTTCTCATAATTTGAATATGACAGTTTTGTATTTTAATTTATGTATTTTTTTCTTGTATTATGATATTTTTTTATATTATGCCGTGTCATGTATGTATTGAGATGACAGATGCTTGGCTATCTCAATGGTGGGAGGATGTTGGATTACGGTCGAGCGTTGAGCGAGCGTCCTTTTGTTCGACGCGATGTTCTTATGTTTTTTCGGGTGGCGTGATCGCCGGTTGCGAGAGGTTTCGCGGCAGTAGCACAACGCGCGCCGTCGAAGTAAGAGCTAAGTAATAAATATGGCATTTTCTATATGTATTTCACGAACTTAATTATACCCGTGCCTATTAAGTAACACATATCAGGCAATTGTATTCGCCATGTTCCGACAGGTCTATAATCTGAACAACTTTGTAAAAGTGTATGGAAATGATCCATATGTACGTCCGTAAGCCATTCGTCTCGGGTAATTATATCTTTGTCTGCAAGCTTTAAAATAATATTTTGAGTCTTTAGAGACATTGTATTGTATAAAATAGACGCACAACAGATTTCTTAAAGCGCAAAGCAATTAATTAATTTTTATAGGCGCAGAGCAGCCGATTTTTACAGAACAGCCGATGTTTGTAAACGCAGAGCAGCCGATTTTTATAGGCGCAAAGCAGCCGACTTTTAAAAGCGCAGAGCAGCCGATTTTTATGGGCGCAGAGCAGCCGATTTTTAAAGGCGCAGAGCAGCCGATTTTTATGGGCACAAAGCAGCCAATTTTTTAAGGCACAGAGCAGCCGATGTTAGTAGGCGCAGAGCAACCATTTTTATAGGCGCAAAGCAGCCGATCTTTATAGGCGCAAAGCAGCCGATTTTTATCAGCGCAAAGCAACCGACTTTTAAAGCAGACCATTTTGAGCAACCGACTTTTAAAGCAGACCATTGTAAACAGATAGAGCTGGTTAAATAGACGAATCGATGTGTCTGCCTGCGCGATTTGATGAGAAAGAATAGTCCACCTTTTACATTGCTGCGCGCGCGACAAAATATTCGGAGGAGCGCTTTATAATAAACAACAACTTGTATGCAGGAATGTAACTCATATATATCTCCCGATGCCTCACCATACACCTAAGCAACGTAAACGTTAGGTTACTCCTTGTCGAATCATATGGACACAGTGTGATTCGCCTATCTTTATTAATTAATTTCTCATTAATCACAAAAAGTGGTCAACTTATTTTGTATTTGTAACGGCCTGACTTTAATATCGAACGCGGACTAGTTTACTGGATCGGAAGTTCGATGAAAGGCCCAGAGACAGTAGTCAGTTTGCGATACACACGTATCCCTTTATTTTATTCAACTCGAGATGCGGTATGACATACAAAGCTTAGTTCATCGCAGTATATTACAACGATCGACCGCGTCGGTGCGCCGGGCGGTATATACAGACTAATAACGGAACGCGGGTTTACAGAAAATAACGAAGCGCAGTATATTACGTAAGAACGGAACTTGGTTACAAAGAACAACACAGCGCGGTATGTTACAACGATCGACAGTGCCGGTGCACTGGGCGGTATATACGAGATGATGACGAGACGCGGTTTTACAGGAAATAATGAAACGCGGTATATTATATACGAACGCGGTTACAGAGAGCACCGCAGCGCGGTATATGACGACAGGCGGTAGTGCGGGCAAACTCGCGTATTATGATGAACGCGGAAGTATAATACTCTACGGTCGCGGCGCGGCACCGTGGTGCGGGTGCACCCGGTGCGGTATATCGAGAAGGCTGATAACGTGGGCGGGAGCGCGATATGTACAACGGAGGATTGCGGAATCCTGGGGTTACGGTCGCGAGAACCCTCGCTGCGAGGACGAGCACGCTCGACCGCGCGGTGCCGTCGGGGTAAGTGTGATGGAGCTCGGGGACACTCTGAGAACCCTCAGTAGAGGCCCAAACGCTGGACCTCGTTTTGCGTGACGCCCTAGGATCTGGAAGGTAGGCTTCGTCAGGAGTAGCGGAGAGCCGTGGTAGAGACGAAGTGCCGTCTCGTCGAGCGCGCCGGCTTTTATACCGCTCGGCGCGGCGAGCTTGGCAGGAGGGAGGCCGATCGTCAGGCGAATGGCGTGGTGGTGGGAGCGACGCGATCCCGTGCGCTCGCTTCGGCGGGGATCGGCTCGCTTCGGCGCTCGTCGGCGTTGTGCGGAAAGGCACCGGTGCGGCGGGTTTTCCGCGCATACGGTGCGTTTCGAATGATTAACAATTGTGGGCGCACCGCGCCCTGTCCTCGCCCGACGGAGGATCGGTCGGGCGGCATCCGGCGGGTGGTGGCCGGGGACGATGCCTTAGTGTAAGGGGCGCATCGTTACACGTTATTTATTACTTGACATCCTGTATATATACAAATTTTTATGTTAATAATGTATGTATTCATATAATACAGCATATATATAATGTATACAGGGTGAGTCATTTTAATCGATGCAGGCAAATATCTTGAAAAATATGGAAGATTATAGATGTCGTTTTTAAGAAATTTTAAAAGCGACTAATTTCTTAAATGAAACTTGATTTTTTCCTTCAGATAAAAATTGTACATCTCGTGAAGACGTTTCAAAACACTATAATAAAGCTCTCTTTCGTTAAGAATTTTCTGATTTTGTCATAATATTTTTAATTCTTGATATTTTAAATTTTGTTATAATATTTTTATATAAAATATAAATCTCGTAAAGTATTCACTTTTCAAGGACTTTACTTTGATATTTTTATACGTAGAATCTACAAAATGCAATCAAGCTCTAAAAGTAATTTTTTTATCGATTTCTTTTATTATTCTATGTGTAAAAGTATCAAAATAAAATCATCGAAAAGTGAATATTTTACGAGATATCTCATAATTATATCAAAAATGACAAAATTTAAAATATTAAGAAATTCTTAATGAAAGAGAGTTTTATTATAGTGTTTTGGAAATGTCTTTACGAGATGTACAACTTCAATCTCAAGAAAAAAATCAAGTTCCATTTAAGAAATTAGTCGTTTTTGAAATTTCTTGAAAACCACAATATCTACGACATGGCTCACATCGGAATCATGTGTCCTCCTTTAGACCATACAACTTTTGTCCGAAACATTTTTCCGTATCTACCATATTTTTCGAAATATTTGCCTGTTAAGATATACCGACCCAAACGTGAGCATCCCATATATACAAGAGTAAAGTACCAGTTAAAAAACAGATAGCGAATTAGTTTTAGTCTTAAATTCTCTTCGGTCGACAAACCTTCCTGAAAGTGAACACCATCCAACTTACAAAGTACCAGTTAAAATACAAATAGCCAATTGATTTTAGTCTTAAAACCTCAATTTATGTACTTTCGAAATATACAGAATAAGATTTTTGTGCTCATCCTCTTCGGCCGACAAATCTTTCTGAAAGTGAGCACCACTATACTTACAAGTGTAAAGTGCTACTTATAACAATTAGTTTCCAGCCTATTCATTATAAGCTGAAATAAACATTAGAATCTAATTGTGCATATTTTGGGAGCACATAAATTGAGAAACATTTTAAGATTAAAACCAATTCGCCATCTCTATTTTAACTGGTACTTTACTCTTGTACGTACAAGGTGCTCACGTTTGAGTCGGCCAAAGGAAATGAATACGAAATATTCATTGTGCATATTTTGGGAGCACATAAATTGAGGAACATTTTAAGACTAAAACCAATTAGCTATCTCTATTTTAACTAGTACTTTACTCTTGTACGTACGGGATGCTCACGTTTGGGTCGGCCGAAGAGGATGAATACGAAATACTCATTGTGCATATTTTGGGAGCACATAAATTGAGGAACATTTTAAGACTAAAACCAATTCGCTATCTGTATTTTAACTGATACTTTACTCTTATATCGTATACAGGATGAGGCAATAACTATTACCACCTTAAATATATTCTAATCTATAAGACCCAGAGAAGAATTAGTGTAACTAAAATTGTACGGTACGAAAGGAGCTATCTACAGCAATAATAATTTTTGTCCACGCGGCGTCACCGTCGATTCGAAGGAACGGATTGTTGTTGTGGAGTGCAAAGTGATGCGCGTCATCATCTTCGTTCAAACCGGCAACGTTCTACAAAAATCCACGATTGCGAGGGTTTCCGTTTGCGCGTCGAAAGCGAATGGAGAATAAATTCAACCAACTCAACATGAATATAAGTATACAGTTAATTAATCTCAAAATCTCGGATACTCGCAACTCGTCGCGTCGCGTAAAAGAGTCACGGCGGTCTCGGTCTGCGTGTACTTGGCACGAGACAATGGTTGCTTTCCATTTACACTCAAGTTATATGAGTCACTCAGTTATGTGAGTATTTTATACTCAGGTAAGATATGTCATTTTGTATTTACCTGCTTATTTTCGTGACAAAGCTATCCCAGCAAACGAAAAAAGATTGAAAAGAATTAAAACGGGATTGTCAGGAATTCAATTAAGGACTTTCCGAATTCCATTCTGTCCAAAAAGGGATTGAAATAGTTTCAATATCATGGAATTCCTTATTTTGGAAAGAATTTGTCTTTTTTGAATCCCATCCAATTTCGACACAAAAATATTATACCACTGAATGCCAGGTTAGGGATTGGAAAGTTTCGTGATAAATTCCATTGAATACCATTGATTCCGTTAACGAAATGAATACCATTGAATGCCAAACTAGGACTTAAAAATTTCCGTATTGAATTCCATTAAATTCCGTCTATTCTGACAATAAAATGAATACCATTGAATGCCAGGATAGGGATTGAAAAGTGTCCGTGTTGAACTCTGTGGCGGTACGCGCCACCAATAGTACACGCCCGCGCGGTATCTGCATTACCGGCAGTTCGCGCCGACGCCGCTAGGCATCGCATCGCCGGCGCATCTTCTCGAGTTCAAAGTTTCGTCTTGATCGCTATGTAAAGGGACTCCCTACGGGGCCTGACAGATCTTACAAATCTCATTTTCGGGCTAATTGCCCGTCGGCAGTAGTGCGTGTAATGCCCTTAGGCATACACAAAAGCTCACCGACGAACAACGGTGCTTGGTCGCCCAACGGAGGCGCGAGATGTTTTTTAAACCATCTAATGCCATGCAATTCTATAACCTTTACGGATTCCATAGGATTGGATGGAATTAAAATTTTTCTTTTTTGGATTCCATGGGATCGGACCATCTCATTTCAAATCCCATCTAATTTCATCTAATTCCGCCAAAAAAAGGAATTCAAAGGTATTAAAAAATTTTAATATCTTTTAATCCTTTTGCGTTTGCTGGGATCACAATAGTACAGGTCCATAGCCTCACTTTTAATGTGAGTTTATATTAGATTCATTAAAGCACATGGTCTCGATTGTAGATAAAAACTCAGTTGAATCTCACTTGCCAGCATGCAAAAAGATAACGTGCATTTAACTGAGTTATGACGTCACAAGTGAGAATTATTTCAATTTTAATGTAAATGGAAAGCAACTAATACTGTGTCTCTTGAGATATTTTTTACGCATTATTGGCTACGTTCCGATATTCGCTGTCAATTTTGTAAGTAATAATCAAAAGACATTGCGATCTAATATACATGACGTAAAATATAGATTCAGTACTGGCAATAAATATTGGAACACAGCCATTAACGCATGCATTTGGCAGCAGAAACTATTTTTTAAATAAAGGCTTTTTTATTTTATTTTTTAGGATAATGATATAACCGACCGAGATCCAGAGGAGGCAGAAATGGCTCAATTAAGAGTCGAAAATGAAGAACTGAAAAAAAAACGCCGCCATACCACCGGCACTACTACTGCCACAGCCGGTACCGGCCTCGACCTCGGGCACAGCCCCGGCCCCGACTCCGGGCACAGCCCCGGCCCTGGTCCCGGGCATAGCCCCGGCACCGGCACCGACACCGACACCGACACCGACACCAGCATCAGCTCCGGTACCAGCATCGGCACCGGCACCAGCACCAGCCCTAGCACCAACATCTTCAATTTCAGTGCTAAAATAAGTAGAAAAAAATCAACAATTTATTGTACCAAATGGTATCAATTTTATAAATAAATAAATTTCTATTTTTGTTACAGCAAAAAGATGGCAAAGGGCCGGGCGTAACCACTGGGACACAAGAGGAAGGGGAAGAAAAGGAAGAGGAAGAGGAGGCAGAGGAAGAGGAGGGATGATAAAAACGTACACGCATAACGTTTATTTGTAATATAATTTAATAAGTTTTCGATCGCTTCCGTTTTATCGTCTAAAAAAATGACATTTTTTTACATTTTTAAAATTAAAAAAAAATTTTTTTTAATATTAAAATATACTGTACTTTACTTTGCGTTTTCTAAATTCCCGAGTAATTAAGAACCCGAAACCGTTAATTGC